CAGGAAAAATACTTCTGAGGGGTGGCTCCTCCCTTCCTAAAAAACGCCGTGCTGCTCGTGATGCATGCCCATATTAATCCAGAAAGAGCGGCAGCTCCAGCAGCCCCTCCTATAGTCTGACGCGGAGGCACGCAGGACCTCTGACAGATGATTCATGGGCCTTGGCTTCCTGAGCGAGGCTGCTGATTGGTGGTGGGCTCGCTGTGACCCAGGGAAGCAGTGATGAGGTGTTGGCACACTCACACAGCTCCAGGGAAGGACTACGGAGTCATGCAGCACACTCATGCCTCTGACTGTTCTCTGGTATATCTGCAGAACCCATTATAGAGTGGGACTGCTCTGGCACGCACGTTTTCATCCGGGTTGTGTTATGTTCTCAGGCCTGAGGAGCAGGGGCACAGCAAAGAATTACAGGGTCCAAGCACAGGAAAGGGACCCACCCGCACCCCCTCAATTTCCTTCACATCTACCCTCCCAGATTTTTTTAGAATACATATATCCAAGGATCATTTCTTGCTTTTTATTTGTCGTCTTTGTGAAGCACAGCTGATTTAAAAGGGGCTATATGAATACAATTATTATCATAACTTGAAATGATCAGGACCAAAACTGATTTTCAAGATTTATCATTATTTGACAGTTTTGTGACCTCCTCAGGTGCCTTGTTTTATCTGAAGATATCAATAATAATGATAATAGTAATGAACCATTTCATCACTCGGGGGCCTTTCTCAACACACAAGGAAATTGTCAAATCCTCAAATTTTAGAAGCCAAAACTAAATTAAATAATTTTTACTTAAAAAATACCCAGAAATTATGAATCGTTGCTGTTTAATGTTTTGTAGACCCAATTTTTTTTATCACAATGTTGATCAAAGTCGAGCCAGTTCCTAACATCACATCAGAAAGGAAAGGAAAGAAAGGACACTTGAGCGCACAGATCTGAGAGGTCCTCGCTCAGCTGTCATTAGCACCAGTATTCCCACCGCGGAGGTGCCCGAGAAAACAAACAGCCATAGAGATGCACGGCTGTTTACCCAGAAGCCTCAGCATGCTGCTGCAGCTGCTGACGGAGGACAAACAGTGTGGATGACAACGGATCATATGAAGATATGTGTGGCTGCAGCACAATATCTCTAATGATTAATCATCTGACAATGTCTGAATATGCTCCTGGATGAATCTGCACCTACAGTTATTGTCAATTTTCATCTATCTGATTATTTTCTCAATTAACTGATGAATTGTTTGTGCTAGAAAATAACAGGAAATAGTATCTCAGATTACAACAACACAAGATGATGCCACAATAATTGATTGTGTTGTGGAGCCGACAGACCAAAGATATTGAGTTTATGATTGAATAAGACAAAGAGAAGCAGTGACTAATTTTAATTTTGAGAAGCTGGAGCCAGGATGTGTTTGGCATTCAAACACTCGTTGCGATGTTTAATCATTTTGTAAAATAATATAAAAATCTGAGATATTTTCTGGTTGTTTGTCTGATAATAGACGTGATAAAAAGTCCTAATAGGCCCTTTTCTATAGTGTTAGAATAAAGATAATAATAGAAAATCTTTCTAAAACACTGAAAACCTCCAGCTAAATTAAATACTGTATTCACTCTGCTCTGTTTCCCAAACTAAAGCATCAATAGTTTGCTGGTTCAATCATCTGGTGGAGGAGAACGTGCACATCCAATCAAAAAGCCATGATAAACAGCGCTCGTGTGCAGAGGTCGTGTCCTCTGTGGAGGATTTGACAAACTGTCATTATATTTCTCGGCGGACTCACACCCTGTTACTACGACAGTGACGTAATACATCCTGCTGGTGTCTCCTGCTCAGGCCTGCTGGGGCAGTATCATCGTAACCACCACAGAGAAGAGAGACTCCTCAGGAATAACCTCAGTCATTATTTAAATACAACCAAGAGAGTAATTATTCGACATGAGAAGAGAAATAGAAACAGATCTGCTTGAGTGTACGGGAGGCTTCATCTGTGAATGATTTATTTTCTCTGTGAGAGCATAGTGACATCTATTATTAAGCTGCATGGAGCTTTGTGACCTCTGTGTAAAAGAAGGTCAAAAATCTGCCAGTAAGAGACACGCGATTATTATTTATAGCAAACAACGATATTAAATACTTGTGCATTAGTGTAATTTCTCTCAGTCAACAATAAACATGTTAAAAACTAAAATAAAAACAGATGACTTACCCATTGTAGAACTTTTATAAATCCCAGTGGTTGTTTGATTACAGTGAACTGCCCTTGGGCCACCAACTGTCAAAACACAAAAATAAGAAATCAGCTCATTTTTCCACGTTCTCACTGTGTCAGAACCAGGCGTGGTGAGGATGATGCCAAATAAAACAAACACATTAGCTGAGCCTCACAGTTCACAGGCCACAGACCTGCAGGCCTGTTCTGCTGCCGGCACGTGCAGGTGTTTGTGCCGGTGAATAAAGGGAGGCTCAGCTGGAACCTCTGAGACGCTGGAGAACGACAGTTTAGTGATGTTGACTTCAAATGCACAGATGTTGTGTGTGTGTACTTTTGCTTCAAATTTTGTGAGGAGCATTTTAAGGGGAAGACTTTAAGGAATAAGGACATTACAGCCGGTCCCAAGTGTGTTAGTGTGTGTGGTCCAGGTATTACTGGTATTGTGGGGACCCAAATCTGTTCACACGGTCACATGGTGGGGACTTGTCTTCCTTGTGAGGACAAAAAGTCACGTCCCTAAAATGTAAACCATCAAAATAATTTCATTTCAAGGTGAAGGATGTTCTGCTTAGGTTTAGGTTAAAGTTAGGTTGAGGTTAGGTTTAGTGTTAGCCAAGTAGTAACTATGGTTGAGGTTTGAGCAAGTCCCCAGGAATATCAGTAAATGTAATGTCCTCTGAAGTCACGGAGACACGACTCTGTGCGTGTGTGTGTGTGTGTGTGTGTGTGTGTGAGAGAGAGAGAGAGAGAGAGAGAGAGAGAGAGAGAGCTCCTGCCAGCATTACAATAAGACAAAGCTGATTAACTGACTGGTTTCTCCTGAGCAGCGCTGCTCCTCCTCTTCTCCTCTTTATTCTTGTGTGGGGAACCTGTCTGTGACTGTGGAGCCAAAAGGTTTGGATGCATCTGTGCGCAGGTGAATGCGGCACCGCACAGGAGGCGATGTGTGTGTGTGTGTGTGTGAGTGAGTGTGTGTGTGTGTGTGTGTGTATGTGTGTGTGTGTCCCTTCGTGTGCATCAATAAATGACCGCACAGGATCAAGCAGCAGTCATGGTTTTTTTTTTTTTTTTGTGTTGCTTCTCCTCCTCCTGACGCGCAAAAGGTGCCAAACGTTCACATTACGCAGATGACGCATGAACGAGAAACGAAATAAAAATCAGAGACGAGCCTGATGTCCGCTCGTTTCCCGGGTAGAAAAACCAGATCCTCGTTGGCTTTGTCACAAGCAGCAGCAGCGGAGCTCAGTGTGAGAGGATGAGCTGCAGGAGAGCGTCCTTCTGTGTCAGGCCTACTGCGGCTCCACTGAAAACACCGAGGCCCTTGGAAATTAATCAGATTCCCGTTTTGTTATCTTATCAACAAGCGGCCTAATTGATTCGTGAACAACCTAAATCAATTAGCCGAGATCTCTGGAGATAATTCTCCACGTCCTCTCCTCTCCTTCCTTATGCTAAATGTCATTGCTGCTGCAGCCTCTGGACATCCCACACATTTTTGGGACCGGGCCACTCCGTCACATCGACTGCAGCATCACTGGAGGAAAATCCTCCCAGTTCCGTCGGGCTGTGCGGTGCCTTTGCACAAATGCATGTTTAGGATGAATGCATGCATTCACATCTCGACTGCAAGAGAGACGCTGCATCAACGCGTTAAACCGGTGGTTTGCGACAAAAAACGCAATTATTCATTAAAGCGCACGACAAAGAGACGCGAGAGGAATAAACCGCATGTGCCGAACGAAACCGTAACGAAATAGAGGATATTTCTCCTTACCTGGTTTACAACATCCATCTTGGCCGCTTACTCGCTGATAAGAGGATCAGAGGGGCGGAGGGAGGGAGGCGTCTCATCCGGAACAGCCCAGGGGAGGAAGACGCCCAGGAGGAAGAGCCGGACTGCGTCACGAGCTGCTGTGAAGCGTCGTGACGTCCAACGAATCACTGGGCGTGGAGCAGATAGGCCGGTTCGTCCAATCACAGCGCAGCTTTATTCTAAGGCAGAGGAGATTTTTTTGCCTGGAGGGAGTTGTGATGAGGAGGAGAGCGGCATGGAGGCTGCTCCTGCTCCAGGAGACGGGAGGAGGGATGTTCAGGGGGGGAGATGTAAAGGTCGCACTAACTGCTGCTGGTCATTAGAGAGGCCGCGGAATCACCTGACATTCACAACAACTGTGTTTGCAGCAGAATACATTTTCCCTCTCACCGGGCAAAGCTTATTCTGAGTGAAACAAGTTGTGGAAGGTTCAGCCGGAGCTCAAGTTATCTGCATTCATGCAAACGGCAAAACACAGAAGTGAAACAGGATTTAGAACACGTGCACAGGTTATTGTTTCGCACGTGTCTTTTTCCTCTAAAGGGAGAAACCCAGATGTTTCCATCTGCCAGTCCACTAATGGCTGATTACATAATTCAATCTTTTGTGTGTTTCTCTCTGCAGTTCTCCACATCCATATAGCTTCACTGTGAAATAAACCAAAAAACCTCCAGGACCTTTCAGCTAAGGTAAAATGTTTGGAGTTGTACGTTACTCCATCAACAGTAAATAGTCCCCGTGCCTTTATAGATATCACTTCCCTAAGTGTGCCTAAAAATCGGTGTAAATAAAAAAAGCCACAAGATCTGTGTGAGATGACCTGTAACAAACTGTGTGACGTGGAGCTTTACTGCATCATGTGATGTCAAAGATGCTGCTGAATAAGACGGATAATTATCAGAGACAGATGAAAACATATCCTCCTTGGTGACAGTAATAAAACACCAAACTGAGAAAACTTGTTTTTATTTGTGCACATGAATACGGCTCCCCACCATGACAAAAAAATAAATATTCATAATTGTTTTTGCTATGAGCATGCGTGTTTCATCTTAGAGGATATAAATATATTTAAATATTTCTCTAAATTAGTGAATGCTGGTGGGCACTCGTGAACTGGATCTCATCATCTGTGTAAGAACAAGTGTTAGTGATCTAATAGTTTAACATATTTCACAGTCTATGTGTGTATGAGCCATGATTGCAACTGAATACACACGTGTCAACAATTCAAGAACAGTACAAAAGGAAATTATAATGTAAAACAGTTCTTTTTTGATAAAACTAAGAGCAACCGTTCGCTGTCTTCTTCATCAGGTTCTTCTGCAAGACGCAGTCGTAGAGTTCCCTGGAAACCTGCTCGAGTCCTGCCACATACTCACGTGTTCTTAAAATAAGTGCATTTGTGTTTTGGCATTCACAAACAAAAGCATATCAGTCTTGAGACGACAAACTTCATGTCCCCATCACATCGTTTCTTTTTTTCTCCACAGAAGATATAAACACACACGGCATTAAAAAAACTCTCTCGCTCCTTCTCTCTGTAGAACTTCGTACTTCTCTTTCTCATTCAGTTACTTCACTTTCGCTGATCTCAGTAGGAAATCACACAGTTCATTTCATCGGCCAGCTCGTCCTCAAAACGAGACATCGACTGACTGGCTCCGCGAGCTATCAGGTCGGTGGCAGCGCTCTCCATATCGTCCATGCTCATGTGGCAGGCTTCAGCGATCTCCCTCTTAGCGAAGTTCACAAACTTAGGGTCCCTGGCGTAGACGCCGAGACCCTCGGAGATCAAGATCTGACAGAGGGGAGGAGGGAAACAAATATGTAAGACAGGATTATGTTATCAGATACTCACTCTCTGCCACTTTGAAATGCTAAATGGTCAACACTGTAAGATTCAACATTTAAAAAGAGATATTGGCATAGTCAGGTGTCACTTGACACAGAAACAGGTTATTCTTGCTGTAATCGTTCCTCCTGTTCAGACCAACCACAAAGAGATTCTTTCGCAGGTTTTCTACAAGTTTCAACAAGTAAAATTCAAGAACTTTTAAGACCATAATGAATTAAATACAAGACATTTATCGTGTACGACAGATATGAAGGAATATCAGAGTGCCAGAGTTACTTACACTTCCCCATAATCTGAGATAAGGAGCAGTAGTCTAATAGAAAATAGACGTTGAAACGCCACATTACCTCTGTACCTACAGACATCGACCGTAGGTATCCTGTTAAATGAGTCTCCAGTGTAAGTGATGGGGAACAAGATCTACAGTCTTGTCCCATTAGAATTAATAAAACACTTCAGCACCAAATCAAGTATCTTACATTAACAACGTTTTAGTGTGAAATTCACTGATTTAATCTTTTAAATAACACTGAACCAAACAAATGTATCTGCTTCTAAGTTGTTCTTTGTTTACTCACCGACTCAACCAGACTGTCGGCACTGCCTTTGTTTAGGTAGCCCTGATTGACCGGTGGCATCCTCATGCTGGTGAAGGTCCTCGCCTGTCCGGGGTACCAGCCGGGCCGGCTTCCTGCGGGGAGGCTGGCAGAGCCGTCGCTCCACATAGGCTGGCTGCTGCCGGTGGCTTCGTCCACCAGGATCATGGGAGTGTAGATGAGCTTGCCCCTGCGCCCCGAGGGTGGGATTATTCCCGGAACAGGAGTGGTGCCAGCTGCTGTTGTGTTTACCCAGGAGGCAGTAGACATCGAGGACGCGCTGCCGGGCCGGGAGTCGATGCTCTGCTGGGTCTGACACAAGGGAGCGAGGGCAGAAGACCGGTGAAACCAGATGAGAAACATTTTGGTGGTTGAAAACGAGCAGTTTGTTAGTTACACGCATCGGTTGTACCTGTAGACGGGATCTGGATGGGGATGTGTTTCCACGATAGTTCCCTGGGATGGGGAGGTTGTCCACGCTGCTCTGAGGCCTCAGACACTGGAAGTTAAAGGCAGGAGTACGACCTGAAACAAGAAAGTTGGTCAGGATACTACAACCCTGTGTGGGAGTTTGGCATTAGCAGTGAAAGTATACAACTATAATCTCATCCATATATAATTTGTGATTAATCCACATCTACACATCTCTTCCACTACCACATTTAAACTGGTGGTATTAAATTTAAGGTTTAAAGTCATATTTTAAAAACAATGTGGGAAACTGAAGCAGAGACTTTTACTCCCGAACATGGGTGAAGCTCCAAAGCACTGGATCCTAAAAAATAATATATCCCATAATGCAATGAATCATTTGTTAGACCACCTCTGCCACAAGTCCTCGTTCTGACTACTACTATTATTATTATCATCATTATTGTTTTTTTATAGGTTGAGTAGTATTCCCAGCAATGACTAAACCGACCATTAATAATTAAGTAAACACTCTGATTGTAAATCTGTTAAGAATTATGCTAAATGGAAACATAGTCTCACTCAGTCCATACGCTTGAGGGAAAGAAGGATGAAACAAAACAAAAGTATGTTTCTGACCTTTCGGGATGTTAGGAAGAAGCCTTCGCCTGATGAACTGTGCGCCTCTGTTTTCATTTCCGCTGTAGTCGTTGTTCCCATCGTAGCCCGTCACCGAGCTGCCGTTTTCATTGCAGCCGTTCAACGTGCTCCCATTTCCATTGATGCTGATGACGCTTCCGTTCTCATTGTAGCTGGAGTACCCGTTCCCGTTGTACCCATTCGAGGCATAGGGAGTCGGGCTGGCAGCGACGCTCCCTCCATTCGCGTTGATGTTGCTGTGACCGTTGCTGATGAAGCCATTAGCATTGTATGTGTCATAAGGTATTTCTCCTATGTTGCTGGCTTGCTCCAAGCTCTGTGCATTGTAGCCGGTCTCAGTCGGTACAGGAGAGACAGGTTCTGGATACACGTACCTAGAAAATCCACACCAAGATGATGTTATTAAAGGAACACTTAAATAACAGCTTCCTCACATTCACACCGAGATGTAGATGAGAGGATTAATAAAGCTCTCACATCCTTTCTTTAAATGTAAAGTGTGCAAGCAGCTCTAAAGTGTACAAACAAAAAAACTGTTGGTTTATGAAGGTTTTTTTAGGGAGGGACTATTTCCTGGCAGGGACCAGCGACTTCCTGGAGTCTTGCAATCACCTTATAGCTGCCTGGCAAGAAATAGTTCCCCAAATAACCCCCTGTACAAACACAGCATATCGTCTTTATACTGTTCTTTAGTGTGGGAACTAACCGAAAAAAGATAAAATATATTAATTTAGGGGCCTTAAGAGAATCTTCTAATCTAACTATCCACCAGAATGCAAATATGTATATTTTGGAAAATGTCACACTTTTAGATTTCTATTCATTCATCACAAACTGTCTCTCTCTCCTCCCTTTGAATCTTACCTGTCTGCTGATGCTAAAGTTGCAGCATCGACTTCAATATTATAAACCTGCTCAGATACTTGAGTCGTATCTGACACAACCGGTTCTTCAGGGACAACCTCTGCTCCACCTGGTGGAGGAGGAGGAGGAGGTGGAGGCGGCAACTCGCTGAGGGAGTCCACCCTGTTGGAAGAGAGCAGGAAAATGAGGAGACTCGTAATGACTTTTATTAAAATCACAGCGACAATGATTTACAAAGACAAATGAGAGAAACTCACCTGATGGGCGGGCGCTCACACCTCACAGGCTGCTCCGTCACAACGTCAACCCCTCCCAGCTCTGACCCTGGTCTCTGGTGCTCCTGCAGGCCCGTCACCTGCTCTGTGATCACGCCTCCGTTGGTTTTAATGGGCTCTGGTTCGACAATCACGGTCGTCTGCTCCACCAGCATTTCTATGGGTGGCATCGGCGTGCTGGCGGGCGTGGTGTTCACTGAGGTTCCAGGCTCGTCAAATATCTCATCGCCCATCATCTCTCCGTCTGCACCCTCCTCCTCCTCCAGGTCACAGGCCATCGCCAAACGCATCTCTGGAGCCAGGTCCTGCAGCGTCCGCAGCCCAAGCTAAGAACCCAAAAGAATAAACCCCCCAATGTTTACAATGATTTTCTACCACATATCTACAAGGAAACACAAAATTATAGTTTGGATATTTTACTGCAACTTTGCAGAGTCTTGAACTGTAAATGCATGAGTTTGGTATTAGTTACTGTTTTCACATTCATCTGCTGAAGTGCTTAAGTTTCTACAGATTACACAAGTGTGATGAAGAGACCTCCAGCACACACACACACACACACCACGTTTTAATGAACTATAACACATCTGTGTTTTGAAAGGAACAATATTTGCACATTCGGAGATTTAAATTAAAGGAAAAACTACAATCAAACCAAAATGATGGCTCAAAGCGAGTTTTACTTTACTTCATCAATCAAATCTATTTTCAAAGTCACCTGAAGAGAAGCCGCCCTGTCCTTCCTCTTGGATTTCCTCTCCCTCTCCTTTCTCTTGCGGAACTTTTTAAAATAGTCCTGAATCAAGAAGCTGGCGTAGAACTTCCCACAAGTCACCTCGTCGCCTGAGGAGGAAAAAGGAGAAATTAAAAAGTGACTGTCTTTGTAGGTGGTGGAGGGGAAGAGGAGCTGAATAAGCTTTACACATTTCTCTGGATAATAAGATAAATGAGTGTATTTGCTATTTTACTCTCAGAAGAAACAGATGCCATTGATGGGAAAAGCTTTTTTTTAATATTCTGAGTGATTGGCAGCTATGTAATTCTTTGATGTACCTCTAGGGGGAGGAATGACTTCATCGATGAGCTTGGGCTTCGTGCGCTTCCACAGCTTCTTGATGATCACCTTCAGCTCTTCGTTCTGTTGGTCGATGGGGCCTGAGGGGGACAACAAACCCGACAGCAACCAGATTACACTCAGCACCGTGTCTCACACACGTCGGACCAGTGTGGATGAGTGTGTGGACTCACCGTCAGTCTTGATCTTCAGTGAGGTTCGCACGAGGGCAAACAGAGTCGCATTGAAGGTGACCGTCCCATCAGAGTGTAGCGGGACGTTCATAGCGACGAGTCTCTGAAGGGACAAAGCGAAGCAGAGGGAGTGAGATCCATCCATCTATCTAATCCTGCCCCTGAAGCCTGATGTGAAGCTCTGACTGTGGTGACTTACTTTACAGGCAACTCGATGAGGACATAGTTTTCCAAAACCAAGCGGCGGCTGAATCCTTCGCAGCATAGTGACCACGTCGATGTGTTTTATACGACCTCTGCAAAAAGCACACAAACACCAATCAGACAATTACTGACGCGTGACTCACAGAAGTAGCAGCGGAGGAAAGAGAAAAGAGGAATGAGACTCACATGGCCTCTGGGTCGTAGTCGGACCAAACTCTCTTGAACTCGTCCAGGTGGTGGGTCCCGAGCACGGTCCAGTCTCGTGTCAGGTATTCAAAGTTGTCCATGATGACGGCGATGAACAAGTTGATGATCTGACAGAGAGAAGGAGGGAAACGGAACAAACTGCATTTGTGACACATCACTTATGAAGCAAGATTTGAATCAATCGTCAAAAAGACACAAAAACCCTTGAAACTACTTAAAACAGTATCAGTAGTTATTGATCAGTATAAGTTACCCTAAAAGAAATCTGTAAATTGTATATATATATAATAATGATTTTGTTTTCTATTTGGAGTGGTCTTTCATAATGATTTTCTATTTGCACGTCAGTCCATCCAGTTCTAATATAGCAAACCACAGCAGGACTCAGACGTCCAGGTCTACTTTTAGCTGACAGGAGGGTCTCAGTCGGTGTCTGCTAAAGGTCGAAGACCACACACAGACTGATGGACGTCAGCTGTCCACAAGAGAGGAAACCAGAGAAGGGATGTGAGAAACACATAAAGAGAAGGAACATGAACCTGGATTCTGTGCTTGTAAATAACGTTCAAGAAATAAGGAAACAGTTCAGACTCAAATTCATCAAATGTCTAAAGTGACGGGAACAAGAGGTTAAAACTCTTCTGGGTGATAGAAATGTGGAAATCATAACTTTAAAATGAAACTGCTCACTCGACGTGTCCATGCTTCAGATCACATTCACACACAATTTGCTTGTTTAAAGTCACCTTCATTTAAACTGTTTACAGTCTTAAAATAGAACTGAGGTCACTGAAATGTTAAAAAAAATATTTGCCTACTTTTAAATCAGGATTTTGTGATTTGCTGTCTGGATTAACAAAATCCACGGAGGTGGAAGTTCTACGTTAGAGCGGGGAATCGGAGAAGACAGTTTAAGCTTTTAAAACTTTTATTCTCTCTTCTTTAATCTGACTTTTATCCCACCACAGTCTGAAAAACGCAACTCTGAATTAATTATCCCTAAATTTAATTTGGAGTCAGGAGCAGGTAAAGAGGTTTACTCAGTGTGAGCTAATAATCCGTGTCTCTCACCAGGTAGGCACAGAGCATGAAGAAGCTGATGAAGTAGATGTAGGACAAGTTGCTGCCGCAGGTGAACTCTTCGCCAGGTTCGGTGTCGGACTCTGGGTCACAGCGTCTGCCGGGCAGAGCTGCCAACATGATCTCCTGCCACTGTTCTCCAGTGGCACACCTACAAGGACACAGAGAGACATTAATACAGCCTTCAAATCTAGTTTTAATTAATCCAGGAACTATGTAATACTGTGTCGGGGCATAACTTGGGCTTGGTTACAAAAATCTCTGATATTAGCATCGGTCTCTTTCTAGATAAAGCGACTCACCTGAAAAGCACCAGAACGGCCATGAAGAAAGTCTGAAAGTTGCAGTTTCTGTTGATGTGTGTGTCGTCGTCTACAGCCACTTTCCCAAACGTCTGCAAGCAGATAAGTGCACATGGTGAGAGACACACGGTTGAGAATAATTGTGAGAACGGTCGGCAGACTCTTCTGTTTGCTTCATACTGTAGTTGTTTACACTTCTGATTATGAAAAAGAAAGCATTTAGAAAGAGTTGATTAGATCTCGTAATCCTGGAGGACTCACCTGCATGCCAATCACAGCATAGATGAAAAAGATCATAGCGATGAGCAGACCAACATAAGGCAGAGCCTGAGCAGAGAAGAGTCAACAACTGAAATCAGCCCTTTATTTAATCCTTACTGTCGTTATGTGAATGATTTGTTCGCTGCTGCACTGACCTGGAGCGACTTGACAAACGTCCAGAGAAGAGTTCGTATACCTTCTCCTTTGCTGAGCAGTTTGACCAAACGCAGAACTCTGAACAATCTGAAGAAGGTGATGGACACTTTTCCACTTTCTCCTTTACTACCCTGGACAGGAAATGTGTTGAGATTTTAATAACAACTCGTACAACAACAGGTCAAAACAGCTTGTACGTGTGAGACTCCAGTGGTTCAGCTCTCACCTCGCCATGGCCGCCTCCCCCCTGGATCAATCCACGACAGGCAGAGGACGTATGGAGAAGAAAAGAGATTTAAAAATGAGATGGATCATATTTAAATAAACATCTGTCAAGAAAACATTTCAATGGACAAAAAGCCAAATAACTTCTGGACACTTTGCTTTTTCTGTAAAGTGAATGAGAGTCAGGATTTTAAACATACTGAGGTCATGTTACTCCATTTTTCTGTATAATAATAATAATAATATAATCTACTTGACAATTATATTTTTTAACATTTGTTTCTAAAAACAGTCAGATGTCAACATTATGATTGTGACAATAATGTAGCTCTAGACTCTCAAGACTCTGAAAGACTTGCAGATTCACTTTCTTTTTTCAAGTCACATCTTAAAACACCTTTTTATAAATATTAAAATAAAGGAAGTTGAGACACAGAGGGTAGAGTGGGTCATCCACTAATCAGAAGGAGTGAAAGGTAGTTCGATCCCCGGCCCACATGTCGAAGTGCCCTCGGACCGGACACCCGTTATTTCAGCCCATTTTTATAACATCCACTAACTAATGAAAACAGCAACACAGTGTTATAAGAACTATCTACAGGGACAGAAACCATCTCTGAGAAAAATGTGTGACATGTATTTTGATCCATGTCCCATCTGCTAACTTGGAGGAGGCAGAGTTTATGAAGAATGCTGCATAACCGTGTGAAGGAACTTACACTGAACTCAGACACGGCGATGTCCAACACACTCCCCACAACGATCAAAGCGTCAAACGAGTTCCAGGGATCGATGAAATAATGCTGCATGAAGACAAATGAGCAAAGTGACACTCAGCGAAAACCAGCGGCTGTTGTGAAAGTTAGTTTGAAAGATTAACGAGCCTCACGTGAGCCCGCAGAGCCAACAACTTGATGATCATCTCGATGGTGAAAACCACAGTGAAGATCATGTTGAGGATGTCCATGACGGAGGTGAACGTTTTAGACTGCTCGTAGTGCTGAGGAGACAAAAGCTTAAAAAAATCACAACACTGAGACTCATCAGTTTATCTGCGTGTGCTCTGAGCGACGTGTGTGAGACGTTACCTGAATGGCCAGAGTGAGGGTGTTTCCCAGAATCAGCACAAACATGATGTACTCAAATTGACTGGAGTTGATTATTTTCCAGAATTTGAGCTGGGAGGGGTTTTTGGGGATGTAAATCTTTATAGGTTGAGCTTTCAGTGCGTAGTAAACACACTGACGCTGGACGGGGGCAGAAAGACGAGAGCGAGCGTTATTCACCGTCAGACAAATGCACAATGACGTTTAAATTAAAAAACGAGGGTTTTACAAAGGAACTGACTTGATTTTTGTTGAGTTCGCAGTTTTTAAACTCGGCCTCTCCCTGTTCTCGAAACGTGATGATGACGAAACCCACGAAGATGTTCATCATGAAGAAGGCGATGATGATGATGTAGATGATGAAGAAGATGGAGATCTCTACTCGGTAGTTGTAAATGGGCCCGCGGTTGATTGCGTTGGCATCCACCGCCCGGTAAAGGAGCCTTTATACGAAAAAAATTTAAATAAAGCAGTGAGGAAACATTTCGTAAAACACACACACACACACACACACACACACACACACACACACACGACATGTCATTTCCATTGTGATCGCCCCCTGGTGTCTCGCTGCAGTACACATCGCCTCCTCCTCCCGTAACTAAAAAATCAAAGTCAAGTTGCTACTCACTGAGGCCAGCCTTCGAATGTGGACACGGTGAATAAAGCCAGCATGCCCATCAGCACGTTGTCAAAGTTGAACTCGCTGTTTTCCCAAATCCTCTCTCTCACCATGGGGTGGTTCATGTCCCCGTCTTTATAGACAACAAACGTTCCCCTTAAAAAAGACAGACACGTGTTTGATGCCGCACAGGATGTTACAGGTTCTTTATATTCTGCAGAGAAATGACACCAGGAAACTGACTTGCACTCGTCTGGAGTGTGTTTGGCTTCATCTGTGCAGCTGTAGAATCTGCCCTGTAACATGAAACACAGAGACGGTAAAACCCCCAATAGCCACTTACTTCCACTTTACCTCCACCGAGGACATTGTGTTTTCACCCCTTTCCTTTTGTTTTCCCGCTCAGCAGGATTACACAAGAATCATTGAACGGCTTTTCAATTTAGAAAACAATTTTGGTGCAAATCCAGAAATCAATGGTTGAGATCTTGACCACGTACCTTGAAGAGCTGCACTCCGATACATGCAAACATGAACTGAAGCAGGGTCGTGACAATCAAGATGTTACCGATGGTGCGGATCGCCACAAACACACACTGCACCACATTCTGAGAACATAGCAACAACACAGCCCATGTGTTAGCGTCAAACAACAACACTTCATATACACTCAACAAAAAACGTCCGAAGCGTCCAAAAAAAGGCAATACGTGATTTTACTATCATGAAAAAAGACGTGAAAATAATTTACCTTTAGCCCCTTGGCTCTGTTGATGGCTCGAAGAGGCCTGAGCACACGCAACACTCGAAGAATCTTCACCACAGAGATCGCGCTTGAACTGAGAGCAACAAGGATTTAAAGCATTTTAAAGAAATCAGTGACTCTGACTGATGTCTGTTGTTTGAGTTCCCCAGGCGTCTACTCACTGCAGAAAGAAGGACATGAGGGACACGCTGACGACCAGTAGGTCCAGGAGATTGAAGGCATTTCTACAGAACGACCCGCTGTGCAGAAAAGCTCCGTAGACCGTCATCTACACACGAGCGAGGAAGAGGAGAAATGTTTACACACTCTCAAAATGCGCACGTTTAATTTTTTTATGTCATTCTGTTTATTTCAGCCACTGTGTCCGTTACCTTCAGGACGATCTCCACTGTGAAAACTGATGTGAACACATAATCGGCATAACCGAGCACCTGAGGAAAAGAGAAACCAGTGTGAGCTTTGAAGATTTTTTGCATGAAAAATGCCTGTGAGGCTCTGATGTGTTCTTACTATGTTTCTGAATGAGTGGGATTTGATTGGATCCTCAGCAGCCAGGGAAATACTGCTGAAGATGATGAAGATGAGGATGAAGTTGGTGAAGTAGGGATGATGGATGAGGTTGTGGCAGGCGACTCGCAAACTGAGGATTGGAAGGAAATTAGGAAAGTGGAGCGTTACTTTGTGTTTTTACAGTTAAAAGGTTTTATAGAGTTCAGTAGAGTTGAGTTCATCGCGAACAAACACATATTCTCAGATTACCAGTTTTTCTTCCCAAGGATGAAGAAGGAGCTCCCGTCAGGAATTGGTACGATCTTCTCTTTAGGCCCTGAGAACTCTGCCTTTAGAGGAGCAACGCCTACGATGAAATAAGGAGCAAAGGTATGAGACAGTTTCCATGTTAATCTGCACATCAAGCGTTTGTCCTGCAGAGAGACGTCCGTCCCACTCACCCTCCAGTCCCTCGATGGCTCTCAGCTCCTCGTTCTCCTGCCAGTCGTCCTCCTCATTCTACAAACACAATATCAAATACTTTAACCTTGGTGTCTTATCTTTTAGAAACTGAGTAAAAATATGGAAACAATATCTACCCCTGCATCTTCATCTTCTTTCTCTTCATCATCATCCCACTCTTCTTCATCTTCCTTTTTCTCCCTGAAAAAACAAAGTCAGCTGAGTGAAAACCACATTTTTTAATGCAATGAATAAACTAATCAATGTAAAAGTAGCAGGAAATAAAAGGACGAGTCAGTTATGAATGTGTCGCTATATCATTGTGTCAAACTTACTCCACGTTTTTCTTTCCTCCACCTCCAGCCAAGTTGTCCACAGCGATAGCCAAGAAGACATTCAGCAGGATGTCTGACCACAAAATGAAGGAATCACATTTGCTCCAGTGGGAATAAAGAGACTGAATTTAACCTTCAGTTGGACCAGAGATCTATTTACAATCATTATTGATCTGTTGACGGCCTTTTGGAAAAGGATACAGTTACCACAGACAAAGAGGATGACAAAGTACATGCACACCACCATGTTGGGGAAGATAGGACCACCGTAGGCCATGATGCCGTCGTACATCACAGCATTCCAGTCCTCTCCTGTGAGTATCTGCACAGACCATCAGAGACACAAGCTGCCATTCATACCACAGTGCATAGATTTGCTGAAAAATAAAAGCGAGAGGCTGTGGGGGTGTAAATCACCTGGAAACAAGTGAGCAGAGCCTGAGGGAAGGAGTCGAATGTACTTCTCTTCATCTGCATCTCGTCAAAGTTGAATTTGCCTCCGAACAGCTGCATGCCGAGCAGAGCGAAGATGATGAGGAAGAGGAAGAGCAGCAGGAGAAGGGAGCAGATAGCTTTCATGGAGTTGAGCAGTGAGTTGACGAGGTCAGACAGAGCAGCCCAGTGCCTGCAAACAACAGGAGAGCAGGGATACACTTCAGGAACGGGTCAAAGATGGCAGTTGTCCCCGTGGAGCTCCGTGTTTCAGTTACCGTGTCATCTTAAATATCCTGAGCAGACGGATGCAGCGCAGCACAGAGATGCCGATGGGTGGGATAGCCTCGAACTCGACGAGCAGCGTCTCCAGGATGCCGCCGCACACCACGAAGCAATCGAAGCGGTTGAACAGCGCCATGAAATAGATCTGCAGGCCGAAGGCGTACATCTTCATCAACATCTCCAGAGTGAAGAGCAGCAGCAGGATCTTGTTGGCTCGCTCTGTGGAGCAAAGAGAGAGGAAGAGGTGGAGCTGCGTTTAGATATTTCACCAGAATGAAGGTAAACAGAGGTTCTGAGGCGAGGATGATACTACCTTGCATTTCCGTGAGCCACTTCGGTTGTCCGTAATGCTCGGAGGCACTGGCCACTGTGTTGAGAAACACCAGCAGGAGCACCAGCCAGTAGAAGTTTGTGGTCTTAACAGCCACTCGGCAATTCTTCCTCATGGTGTGATTCAGCTGGCACAACTGGTCACTAAGGGAAGAGCGGACATCAGAATGATTTTGGGGTCGATGCTGATCGTGATATTAAGGAGTTAAACATTTCTCATACATAAACTGTGTGTCAGCCTATAAACAGTAAAACTTGGATTAAGAAAATAAATAAAATTTTACGTAAAATATGAACATAAACACACATCTTTTCTGCATCGTTTATTCTGTGAAATAAAAGTTTTTATAACAGCTCATATTGTCTGTTTCTATTAGCTGACCATGGACACACAATCTATTCATAAAGTAGTGGTACAACTTGATTCATGTTTTTTAGAAATGTAAAGAAAGTTCTGTGACTTTGGCTAAACAAACATCATTGCATTATATTACATCATATAACGCCTACATACCATATTAACTCCATTTGTACGACTCATTTAAAATAAAATCAATAAAACTAAATGTTAGAAATCAAACAAACTGTGTATTTTATTATTACAGGAGCTCAAAGAACGTCACTGGAGGCTCGTGCTCTCCATCACATAAATATTTCACACAGTGTGTAATGTTGAGAGTCTCACCAGAAGCTGTTGGCCATCATCTTCGCCCTGAGAAAACAAGACGAGGAGGAAAAGAGAGATTAATTAACAGCCTCCTCTTGTGAGTCAAAACACAGTCAACTGATATTTCTCTGTTTCCTCACATGAGAGAAGCACAGAAGCCGCTGTCATCGTCGAGGTACGCGATATCATCATCAGAGTCGGACTCTGTGGACCACAGAGATTTGCTGTTGGAGACTTTGATCATATAAAATCAACACGATAACAAACAGTGGCAGCTGACGTACCTCCACCGTCCTCACTGTGTTTGTACCAGCCAAACTTCTTCATCATCTTTTTCTTTGCGATGGCAGCACCTTCAAAGACAAATAGAGATTGTTCAGATGTGAGGAAACGTGGATTAAATGTGTTTGTGTGAATGTGCATTAAACTGACGTTTGTTTCCTTCCTCGTCCACATCCTCGGCCTCTATGAGCCAGTCCATGTAGCCGATCATGTCCTCCTCCAACTGTTTGCTCTCCTGCGCCTTCTGCAGCTCGCCACGCGCCACCGCCTTTTCTCTTTCTTTGGAGAACTCTCTGTGGATATTCACACAGCAACATAAAACACTTGGGGAACTTAGAAAAACAAAAAGAGAAATGTAAGGGATAAAGGTTTGTGTCTGAGAACCAGTGACCACCCACCCGCTCAACACACCCAACACAAGATTGATGATGAAAAAGGATCCAAAGATGACGAGAGAAACAAAATAGATCCATGGAATCTCAAAACCAATGGCGTCATTCATCTGTGCAGAGACAAAGTGTTGTTAAACAATTAATATTTAGAGTGAGAAATAAACTGTGGGGGACGTAGCAACACATCTGTGTACCCAGTAGAGCACATCTGTCCAGCCCTCCATAGTGATGCACTGGAAAACTGTCAGAATGGCAAAGAAGATATTGTCGAAGTTTGTGATCCCGCCGTTGGGACCCTCCCACTTGCCCCTGCACTCGGTCCCATTGGTGACACAAAAGCGTCCGCTCCCAGCGAACGCACAGGGTGACGGGTCGTCCTCCAACATGAGGCCTGGAGCACAGAAGGAAAACCAGGAAGTGAGTTTACACACCCATTAAGATTATTAGATGGTGAATTATTCCCTCTGCCAAGGACGTTTATGTTTTCACCCCAAGTTTTATGGTTTATTGGTTTTGTTTTTGTTTCGAGAGCAGAGACCTGAGCCGATGGAGTAACACGTCTTGTGCATCCGGCCGATGAAGAGCTCCAAGCCGATGATGGCGTAGATGATGATGACGAACATGACCAACATACCGATGTGGAGAAGGGGGACCATGGCTTTCATGATGGAGTTCAACACAATCTGTAAACCTGATGAGACAAACACACTCAATAGTCTGTGTGGGATGAAGCATAGAAACACAATCAACAAACAAATATTAGACGCACTTGGCACTCCTGACACGAGTCGGAGCGGTCGCAACACCCTGAACGCTCTGAGCGCTTTCACATCCAGGCCTCCAGGTTTTCCTGCAGCGTGATGGGCCTCTCCTGGCTTATGATCCGTCATGGCCTCTGCTATCACACTGAACAACCTGCACAGGCGCAGACAACAGGCGCTGCACTTTACTTTTTCATTAATGACAGAATATTTGGGGAATCGTGACTCAGTGAAGCACCAAAATACCCGACAACGACGATAACGAAATCAAGCAAGTTCCATCCGCTGCGTATGTAGGCGCTGGGGTGCATGACTAAGCCGTAGGCAAGAATTTTAGTGAAGGTCTCGATGGTGAAGATGACGAGGAAGACGTACTCCACTTGTTCCTGAAAAGAGAAGAGACGGTGACGTTGGACTGCTTATGCAAAAATTGGAGTGACCTTTTTTTAAATGTTAGTGTCTGACAGAAATAAATATTAGAGACTTATTGTCACAGTAAAATAAAGAGTTAGAAAATGTTTCATTCATTCTCAATCCATTCTGTCTTGTTCACGCTTCTTCCTTCACTTCCTGTGTTATTATCATTAAGGGCTGATAACAGTGGCTTTGTAACCTCTTAACCCAGTGCCTAACACATGCTTAGGTCTGTCACGGAATCCCCTTCTTCCTCTGTAACCTTGAGCTTAACGCTGCTAATTACCGCTTCCACTGCGACTAGGACTTTACCAGAGGCTGCCGCAATAATCCATGCACGACGTGGTTCAATGTGAGATGACTGGTATTCTCAAAAAACTGTAATGTTCACCCAAACCTGACATTAACTGATGCTAAGTCCCTGCAGGGAAGAGAATCTTAAACTGTCAGATTACCTCCTCTGTGAAATCCAATAAAGGGATCTACTCACATCTATCCTGCTGCAGCTCTGTGTGTGTGTGTGTGTGTGTGTGTGTGTGTGT